TCCAGGATCCAGTTCCTCATTCCCACTGTAATTCCAGGATCCAGTTCCTCATTCCCGCTGTAATTCCAGGATGCAGTTCTCCTGTTCCTCATTCCCGCTGTAATTCCAGGATCCAGTTTGCCTGTTCCGTGTGCAAATTCCGGAGTTTTGAGGAGGAGGAGATCCAGAAGCATCTCCAGAGCAAATTCCACAAGGAGACCCTTCGCTACATCGGCACCAAACTGCCCGACAAGACCGTCGAGTTCCTCCAGGTGGCAATTCCAGCCTTTTCTTGGCAATTCCAGCCTTTTCTTGGCAATTCCAGCCTTTTCTTGGCAATTCCAGCATTAATTTGGGGTTTCCAGCCTTAATTTGGGATTTCAAACCTTAATTTGGGATTTCAAACCTTCATGTGGGATTTCCAACCTTAATTTGGGATTTCCAGCCTTAGTTTGGGATTTCCGCCCTTAATTTGGGATTTCCAACCTTTATTTAGGATTTCCAGCCTTAATTTGGGATTTCCAGCCTTAATTTGGGGATTTCCAGCCTGTATTTGGGATTTCCAACCTTAATTTGGGATTTCCAACCTTAATTTGGGATTTTCACCCTTAATTTGGGATTTCTAGCCTTAATTTGGGATTTCCAATCTTCATTTGGAATTTCCAGCCTTCTGGGAATTCCAGCTTTCTTTTGGGATTTCCAACCTTCATTTGGGATTTCAAACCTTCATTTGGGAATTCCAGCTTTAATTTGGGAATTCCAGCCTTAATTTGGGATTTCCAGCTTTAATTTGGAATTTCCAGCCTTTTGGGAATTCTAGCCTTAGTTTGGGATTTCCAGCCTTTATTTGGGATTTCCAGCTTTAATTTGGAATTTCCAGGCTGGATTTGGGATTTCCAGCCTTAATTTGGGGAATTCCAGCCTTAATTTGGGATTTCCGCCCTTAATTTGGGATTTCCGCCCTTAATTTGGGATTTCCACCCTTAATTTGGGATTTCCAGCTTTAATTTGGGATTCCCCAAGGATTTAGGGACATTCCCTACGGATTTGGAGTCTCCCCCAAGGAATCCGACGGTTCCACGTGCACAGGCTCCCGTTTTATTCCAATTGGGATCATCCCACCTCTTGCTCCGGCGGAAATAATGGGAGACAGGGAGGGAAAAGCCCCTTCCTGGAGCCGGGAATTCCCAAGCAATGGGAATTCCCAAGCAATTCCCAATTTCCCTGCAGGAATACATCGTCAACAGGAACAAGAAGATCGAGAAGCGGCGCCAGGAGCTGACGGACAAGGAGGGATCCAAACAGAAACCGGATCCCTTCAAGGGTGAGTGGGATCCCTCTGGAATTCCCGGGAATTTTCAGGCTGGATTTGGGATTTTTCAGGCTTAATATTTGGGATTTTTCAGGCTTCATTTGGGATTTTCCAGGCTTATTATTCCAGAGTGGGATAACTCTGCTCCTCGTCCGGAGCGACACGTGGGGTGGATTTGGGTGGGTTTGGTTGGATTTGGGTGGATTTGGCCTCCAGGAGGGATTTGGATGGATTTGGGTGGGATTTGGATGGATTTGGTCTCCAGGAGGGAATTGGTGGATTTGGGTGGGATTTGGGTGTTTTTGGGTGGATTTGGCCTCCAG